TCTTTATTGAAAAAACTAAATGCACTTTAAATATTATTAAAATAAGTAAATTATATGTCATATTGCTATGTTGTGAATAAGCAAAACCAAAAATTTTTTTGTTGTATATCTCAGAAACTAGAGCTAATAAAAAATTTTCGTTTGCATTTTCGTTTTTCTTACCCCAAAATTAGTATAATTTGACTAAAAAAGTTAAGGATACAAAAAAATATTTTTTTTGTTGCCCAGTGTAATTTGTCTTTCGCCTTTCTTTCATGAAATGATAAAGTTACTGATGAAAAGATAATGATTCACGTTTCTCACCCATAGACATGAAGTATGGGATTCTGAACCTGCCCGAGACCACCCGGTCCCTGATGACGCGAAGGTTGCTGCCGTCAAACGGTAACATGCCACAAACCAACACGTACAAGATCACTCCTAAGCTCTGTTAAACAATTAGGTTGTATCCGTTTCAAAATCTTGGAAAGACAAATTAGTCAACCAAATTATTGAATAGTCAATTTTTGTGTTAGATTAGCTGGGTAACTAATCAGACCATTAGATATATAAACTACTTTTATATGAAGCAATTAGATTAATTAATAGTTATGTAATGAGTTAATGATTATGCAATCAATCAATTCCTCGTCATAAAAGTTTATAAAAGCCAAATCCTTCCTGCACCCGCAACACGACTGGAGTGCTGCTGAAGTCTCTCAGATTAGGATGAGACCCACCTGAGGCCTGCCTCCACACATCACAGTTGACCTAACTATCATCCATCAATCATTTTAACTACACGGTTTTGGACTTTTTCATTTAACCATTTTCTCCCTTTCTCCACACCTAAACTATTTCAACCAATTTCTCTTATCACAATCGGCCAGTCCCTCAAAGCTAAGCATACTTCTTATCTGCTCGCTACTAACTCTTTCCCATTTATACTCCTTGACATTTGCATTTCAGCTCTCCAATTTTTCCGTCTTTTCACTTATGCATGACACATTCCACATGAATGAACTGAACAAGTTCTAATGCCCTACTATCCAAATATTACATCTTCCAGCTTCATAAATTCTGCTTGAGCACAAGTAGAGGTTAGTTAAATATATTATGACAAAATGTTCGAAAAAGTGAGCATTGTGGTATTGATCACTTGAGACAACTGTAGCTAGCTGGCTACCAAAATACATAAGAGCTTAAAGTTGGAATGTTTCTGAAAATGTTATAACATTCTAATGAGATAATACAGCCTGGACTTAAAAACGATCAATTAGCGACTCATTCGAAAATAAAAGATTGAAGCATTTTTCAAAATAAAATTAAAAAATCTAACCCAAACATCTACTTCGGGGCCGTAATAGGTTCGACCCTCAAAAATTTCAGGAGCAGCATATGGAGGCGAGCCACACCACGTTGACAGTTTACTATCTTTGTGGTAAAAATTCCCAAAACCAAAATCTATAAAGCAGCAAATTAACCATCAATGATTTCAAATTTTTTATAAATAAAAGCAAAAGTAAAAGAAAAATAGTAAACATTGAAATTGAAAAGACTCCAGTGCTACAAAATTTTCAAAATTATGTTCCACTTATATAATTGAAACAAATTTTCATTAATTGTTTTGATTGGTTTATTTTTTTAATGAAAGATAACATAGCAAAAGAAAAATAAGATGAAAGAATAATAAAAATTAGTGGCAATAAATTATGAAAACGTTGAGAAAGAGTAAACAATGTGAAAGTTATTTCCAGAAAGAAAGCACATGATGCAAACATTCTTCTAGAAATTTTCTTCATTGGGTCCTCCTTTAAGATCAGAAAAAAAGGAAAGTAATAAAAAAAGATATGAATGTGAACATTCCACAGAGCTGTTACCATTTTGCACAATATATTTTATAGCATCATCTACGTCAATTCCCAAGCTCCAAAACAGAGAATAACCAAAATACACAAATAAAAAATAAATAAATAAGCAGGAAACTACACTCATCTCATTGCAGAATTTTTGCATGGTAGAACATAAAAATATTAAACTTCGGTTTTGTAAAGAAGAAATATTATCTCACCAGCAAGTTTGACATTAAAATTTTCATCCAGAAGCAGGTTTTCAGCCTTTAATAATTGAATAAAAAATAATCTCAATAAAAATTATCAAGAAATGATTATTATGGTCATCGAGTTAGCTCAGTCAGTAGAAGTGCCATGTCTCATGCTGCTATTACGCGATGGCATGGTTCGAATACTGTCTGTCAGAAACTCAAAGACCATCATAAAAATTAGCAAGTAAATAAATTTGAAAATAAATAATATGTGGTGAACCTTGAGATCCCTGTGAACGATGCCTAATTTGTGGCAGTAGTCAACAGCATTGAGTATCTGGGCGAACTTTATCTTTGCTTCTGCTTCTGAAAATCTACCGTTCCTGGATATGTACTCTGTTCATTTTCACATGAACAAATTTCGTAAATCAATATTTTATAATAAAGTAACTAATTAATTTATTCTATTTATTGATTGATTAATTAATTGATTAATTAATTAACTAAAATTGCACCATAACATTGTTCTTAAATGGTACAAACCCTATAATAAAGGGAATTATTTGAATGTATCATAACAAATTTACCTAAGTGTTTGACACGATTTCTGAAACAAACTAACAATAAGTTAAGTTAAATATTATTTAGCCATAAATTAAAAAATCTAATGCAAAATGTTTAAAAAAATCATTTGTTCATCTCAAAGTAACAAATTCATAGGTTCATTTCTTTTTATTAGAGCATTGGGAGAGTTCTCATGAAAAAATATCATCAAAAGAAGTCTAAACAAAAAAGATATCAAATGACAGGTATCATTTGATAACCATTATATATCTATATATTATATTCACACACAATGCAAAAGAATCTATCCTGTTAGTTATGTGTGGCTACAGATATAAATCAACATCTGAGACTGATCAATGTTGAGGATCTGCCCAGTTATCCTACTTTTAAGAGAAGAGATGATGATTTCAAGTCAGTTACATTGTTTCGCCTATGCATTGGTACTAAACTTTCAGATATAGTTACTAGAAATAGTTTATGACCAAAGTATGTACTAGTTAGAGGAGTGGACATTCAATTGCAACAACAACAACAACAACACAAGTAATCGGATACTTTTGCTTATCCAACAAGTTTTTGCCCAATTAACGCGAAAAAGCTAGGGAACAGTCGAATTTCATTTCAAGCTATTCGTATTTAATTAATGAGTTGGGATAAAAAGTGGTCAGAATGAGGACATGATGACATTGGTAAGGAGATCGAGATTGCGGTAGTATGGACATGTGTTGAGAAGGGATGAAAGAGTCGGGATTAGGCGAGCGTTGGAGTTCGAGGTTGAAGAAGCGATAGGAAGGGGTCGTCCGCGATTGGGATGGAGAGAGCAGGTGGAGAAGGACATAGTAAAAGCGGGGTTGCGTGATACTGAGGCGAGTGAAAGATGTGAATGGCAACCCCCGATCTCGGGGAAAATGTCATCTAAACAAATGTTGTTGTTTGTTTTGATAAAAAGTAGTCAGAATCAAGTAAGCAACCGAACTGGCAATAAATTTGCTTTTTAATACAGATTCATGAATACTGATTACATTTTTGTATTCAACAAAAAGTATTAAATGTTCCATCTTTAGTTTCAATGGACATTCATCTTATGGCATTTTTATTTAAGTTTTGAATTTCTGTGTTTTAGGATTTCTACTTTTCTCAAGTTCAGTATTGGGGGCACTTGTGAGCCATCTTCTGCTTATACAAACATTTTATACTTTGCTACCAAATATTATATCTTTCCTAATACATTGCTTGCCCTTGCAAGCACCCATAAATAGTTTTGAAAGTAGGTTTGCAGCACATCTATACAGTGCTATAATAAAATGTCAAATGTAGCATGATCCCATCCCAGAAGACAACAACAAATGCAATCAATATTTCTTTCAAAATCGTCATAAAATTTGAATCAGAAAAAAAATTACCAAATATTTCTCCCTTGGGTGCAAATTCTGACACAATGTATATGAACTTGTCGGACTCCATAACCTTGGAATAATATGAACCATTTATAAAACAGAACTATTAAAACAGAACTATTAAAATAAAAATGCGTATAAGATTGAAGTTAAAAGTAAATCAATTTAAGTGGCAACGACAATAAAGTGTTATGTGTTATAGACGTGTAAAGATGTTTTATGAATTGATTTATATTGTTGTTCCCATGACCAGATGTGAATGATATATGTGGTAGTGAGATGATTTAGGTTAATTTGAATTATGTAAAATAGAAAGGACCATGAAAGCTCACACATTATCAATATAATTGAATGATTATGAATGAAAACCAATATTATTTCTATTGCAATTTCACTCACGTTATGGTGGTGAAAGATAACAATTTGTAATGAAAGAGAGCTGGCAAAAAGCATAAACAATTAAAAACGAAACTTTTATTAAAAAAATAAAAAAAACCGACATGACAACAGCAAAAACAAGTAACTATTTAAACCAGGCAGCATAGCTTCTAAGTTGGTTGACAGAGGTAAAAATGATGGTGATAATGATGATAATGATGATGATAAACATTACCAAAACTCTCAAAACACAAAATGCCCTTTTAAAGACAAGAGGAAAAACTAATAAAAACTGTTAGAGATAAAACTCAATCGATTCACTACTCAGCAGCAGCAATACATCAGCCACACATGTCATCTCCTTTCAGGAAATCATCAGAAACTCACGGAATGTTCTCTCCTAATTATAACCACAAGTCTGAAAGAAGGTACCTTGCTCAGTGGAATCACAAATTACAACTAAGCAAATGATTAAATATTGAAAATAGCGAGTGTTCAACACAGCACACACACATAACGATTAAGTGCTATAGAAAAAAACCAAGAGGGAAAATGGATCAAATAACTTGCTGAGATTTAGCCACCTGTATGATGCTTACGAAACTATGAACAACACAATAAACATTTTGAATTTGGAAGACAGACAAGGCAAGACAGAAGAGCAAAATTGTGAACTGAAGTTCTTCATATCATTCATGAAACACAACTAGTCAGATAGATAAAATAATAATAATAACAATAATATAAATTTGCTTATGCTACAGTGTTCCACAAGAAATCACTCTTCCCTCTGCTCTTCAGCGAGAGTTTCACTTGAGTGATCCATAACTGACTAAACTAAAATTATTTATATTATCTTTCTCACTACACCACCCACGCACAATCTACGCACACAACATACACACCAGTGCACTTAAGGTACTTGTGAAGATTAGTGAATAATTCATTTGAAAAAAATTAAAGAGTGGGTGTGATGGCTGATGTCTTGAATGGAGCTAATTGGATGATTTATAACATCTAGTGTCACCTACCATCATGTGACATCATTCAGCCTGCCCATGTTGATGATTATTAATGATTATAAAGACAAAATGTGATGTTGCAAATGATTTATCTATGCAATTTCATAAAAGAATTTGTGGGCAAGTACAACAGATTATTTATTGTTGAGTAACATCAAAATGAAACAAAAATATCCAACAGTAACGATAATAAAGTAATAAAATCATTGTTGGAAAATATTCAAAAAGTAGTAAAAAGATTTGAATTCAAACATTCAAATGGATGTGTTTGTCAGTGCAAGACTAAACAATACTAACGCATACAACAGAAACAGACTCACACACATAAACAATCACGCTATCCATATGGATCTGTAACATTGTTAACATTACTAAAAATGAACTTCCTTCAGTATAAAAGCAACAAATTTTACTGCCAGATAAATTATGGTGTTCAAAAATTTCTATGTCCACATTTTAACATGCAAAATAAATACAACATTTAATTTGTTAGTTCCTAACTTAATCTGTCCTTCCAACAACAGCAATAGCAATCATGGGAGTCTGTGAACCCATATAAAAAGCCTAGCTTTCAAATTTTTACTTGGTCCTTATAGACATTCATCAACTTTTACCTATGAGTATGTTTTACTGTTCTGCCCACATGCGCCATCAAACAAGAAAATGTAGAATATGGGCGCTAATATGAGCAATTAATAAGACAAGTGGGCAAACTTCTTCTTAATTGTCTCGTGTTAATTTCCTTACATCTCTATTTATGAGGAATCTTCATAAGAAATATTAACAACTGTATCATCTGACGTCACTCTTTGAACTTGCACTGTCCAATGTTCCCAAAATAGAACAAGTGAGTGGATGAAAGAAAAAAAGAAATACAATCATAATAAAAACAATTAATTAACAAGTAACAATTAATTAACAAAGTAATAATAGTGAAGTGGTCAAGCAAACAAACAAAACAGGAGGCAATTAAAACAAATGAAATGTCCATTTAAAAGTAAACTTAACCTATAAATGAAACAACTAAACAATATAAAAAAGTTTTTACACAATAGTTGTCGTAAAAAATATTAAATTTAATAAGTTGGATTCTAAAAAATTTGTCCTTAACATAAATTAAGCAGAAGACAAAAGTACCAAAAAGTAAATTTATAAGCAATAAATTCATCTTTCAATAACTCTCAGATACTGTTTTTGCCATATCATAAGTCATATTACAAAATGATTTAAACAGCCCTCCATCCACTCTATCATCACTACCACCACCACCATCATTAGTCAGTCTCTCATTATTGAATTCTCCCAACAAAATTTTTATCAATAAGCAACTTTGTCTCAATTTCTATTTTTATTGGATGAATTGATATATTTTAAATAATTTCATATCAAACAAACAATATGAATGTTAACATGAATGATAAATTGAACATCGTTTACGTTTAAATTTTAAAACTAAAATGCTAGACTGGCAAACAATCAACTCATTTTAAAACTACCAATACCATTAGACAAAATTTTTTCCAATCACATTTATAATTTATTCAACACGCCTGTACAAGTATATCCTTTGATCTTTTATCAATCACAAAACTATGAGGTTCACAACTTCAATTATTATTACACTCAAACTTTAATAAAGAAAATATGATATTGTTCTAAAAGTGTTATAGTTTGGTTTGATTAACTCATAACCAGGTCAGTAGAGACACAAAGTGATTGTAAAAGTATTTCTTTAGATGAGTGCCAACTGCCAAAGCTCTGTGTTGTTTGGCAAAAAATAAGTGGGAAACCTGCTTCCAACACTGCCTCTCCACTGCAAAACTCGAAGTTGGTTATCATGTAGTCAATAAATAAAACAAAAAAGAATGATGAGCATCGACTGACCTGATAAAGTTTGATAATATTGGGATGCTTGAAGAATTTCAATATGTTGATTTCACGATGTATCTTATCTAAGCTAGATGGGCTGTCAAACATGGACTTATCTATTATTTTTATGGCCACCTTTAATTAGTTAATCAATTAAATTATTATATATAGTCAAAACCATTTTTAGTGTATTTTTTCTTATGCTTATTAATTAATTAAATTAAATAATTAATCAAATATTTCAGCCAATTTCATATCAAAACATAACGTAAAAATAAATCTTGACAACCCACCTCAGATTTTGTAATTGAGTGCCTTGCAAGTTTCACAATGGCAGTATTCCCTTTGCCAATAGTTTTGATGATGTAATAAAATCCAACTTTTATTTCAGATCCAATTGGGTGGCATCGTTCTTCCACAGCTGATGTGGCAGACGACATTTTGGCGGCCGCACACACTTCTCTCTCTCTCTCTTCCAAGGATGACTAGATTACCTCCGAGGTAAGACGATGTTTGGTCTTTTTGCTATCATCGATTAAATAAACCGGTAGCAGAAGTTGCTGATTGTTGTGTTGCATCAATCAACCATTACCAGCCAAACAGATGATTTTTTTTTAGAAGTTAAAAAATTGTTTAATTGTTTAAGATTTAAAAAAAATTGCTTGGGTTGAAGATTTTTTATGTTTCATTAAATTTTGTTCTATTCTGTATTCACGATTAATTAAAAATATTAAAATATATTATTTATTTTACACAGGACAAATTATTTTATAAAATTAATAAATAATGGGGCTTTGAATTGAAAAAGACTTTCAACACACAAAATCATGCCTTCATCATGAGGGCGAATCTTGGCAGCAGTCGAATTTCAAAGTAATAAAAAAGTTGCTAGATGCAATTTTATAAAATATCAAATAAGGAGGACTTGCAACAACCATCGCCTAATTTTACGACAAATTTTCACTAAACGCTTTTTATCGCTTAGTCGGATTATTGTCGCTGTATGACGTGCATGTGCGTGTGCCCGGTGCATGCAATTTGCAGAACCAATTCAACCAATCAGATGAGCTCTTAGTTAAAAACAACTTCAAAATTTTGATAAAAAATGAAATTTTTTAAAAATTAATTAACATTTTATTATTTATTTGATGAGATAAATATTTCGCTATTATAATAAAAATTTTAAAATGCGCGAAACCATTTTTAACACAATAAAAATTAGTTCTGCTATTAAACCTACGTCATAGATGATGTAAATTGTAAGTTGCATGCCTGTGCTAAATATAGTATCAAATCAGAAATACTTGGTCCGTTTGTACGCTTGTGTGTTTATATCAGTGTGTCGGAGTCGAAGATTACTGGCCCCTCAAAAAAACCGACTCCGACTGCGGCCCCTGAAAAAAATCCGACTCCGACACCGGGTAAAAATTTTCGGCTCCGGGTTCCGAATTTAAGAAAAAATGTTAAACTTTTTCACTGTAATGTCATCTTATTGTCATTACTAAATAAAGATACTTTAAAAACACTTAAAATCAGTAAAGGTAATCGTTTTGCTTAGTAAAATTACTCTATTTTCATGCTTCAAAACATACTGAAAAAAATTTTATTTTTGCATCATAATTTCACCTCATTATCACTACTAAAAAATACTTATAACAAACCCTTAAAATCAGTCTATGTAATTGTTTTTCTTAGTAAAATTACTTTATTTTTATGTTTTACAACATACTGCAAGAAAATTACGTGGTCCTATTCACACTATTAGCATTTCTTTTCAGTATTAAAGATGATTGTTTATCACAACATTTATTTATCTTCTATAAGACACTATTTTAAAAAATTATCAAAATAAAATATTTTTTAAAAATAAATAACACTTTACTTACGATTCCGGCCCCTTAAAAATTCCGACTCAAACTCTGGCTTACATGAAGATATATTTACTAATATAAATATATACATACATATTTATTTGTGTGTTGTGTATTTAAATTTTATCTACGTAGAATGTGTATGCATGTATGCGTATATGATAAGTATATATATATATTTATATATGTTGGTAATAGACCATTATTTTTACAATATTCTACAAATTCTACCGAATGTTTGGCGTTAATATTTTTGTAGTTCGATTTTTCGATTTTTCTCACTAAAGTTTTTTGGTGGACGTTTAGTTTATTGTATATATATATATATATATATATATATATATATATATATATATATATGCATACAGTAATATATCATGCAACATATGAGTAGAACACAATACAATATATGTATGTAAACAAAATATTATGTAATGAATGTCGTGGTACAACAAGCGCTATTATACATACAATGTGTACTGTACATCGGTAACTACGTCAATACGCACACAATATACACACAGTGTTTTCATCTGTTTATACTGAATGTTTCTCATCTCCCGTTTGTTTGGCGGTCCGGCATAATAAAGCGCTTTTATATTAAGTTGTGTCGAGAGTTGTGAGTAAAATGATTTATTGCCTACTACTGGTTACTTGAGTTAATATTATTAACGCATCCTCATCCTGCAGCACTATGAGTATATATTGTGTTATTAGTTATTGAGGTTAATATTATTATTCCAGCGCAATGTTATTCCAACTTTATCATTTCTTTGACGTTCGTTCCAACCAAGTTTGTGTTTAAATTTATGAAATACCAAAAAATGAAGGGAACTTTACAGTTTCAGTGAAAAATGTTAGCATTCGCTCAAAATCATTTTTTTGTTAATTCAGAAAACATTGACACCATTAATAACTTTAATCCGTGGTTATTATTTTTAAAATGCCACCAACAAAATTCTGTTCAGTGATTTAGTTCAAAGCTTTAGCGAACCGAAAACGAAATCAATATAGTGGTTACATCCTGTGTCAAAAATTTGTGTGTAAATCGATCAAAAACTAGCTTAGTTTAGCTTTCACGAGCCCATTTCATGACATGCAAACTGCTGCGATTCTGCAAAATCGAAAGTATTGCTCTAATGTAACTAAGTCTTTCGTGTTGGATAAAATCTTTGATATGAAAATGTAGGCGTCACAATATTGTAAATGGATACTTTTAACGAGTCTTCAAAAGAAATAAAGAATTTCTTGCACTATGTTCAAAAAAGCGAGTAGATGAAAGCAAATGCGTGGTGTGAGCATTAGCTCTGCCGATATAATATAAAATAATTATAACGTGGGATGGCGAATCACCATATTGAAAAATAGAAACAACATTGTAACAAACAAACAAACAAACAAACACAGACAGTGAAGGTTCACATAGAGACGATCGAAATACTGAAACGTTACTTTCTCGTTTCAAATGGATTGGTTCAACCTGGTGTTATGCTAACGTAATATTATTAAATTCATTGAAATCTTCGATAATCTAAAGTGTAATGAGATGTTCGTGCTGTCGGAAATAATTATATCCTCCACCTACACGCGCACAACGTACGTGAAGTTGCAATATTTATCTGAGTGGGAAGCGTGCGTGAAACATTATTTCCAAGTAGAAGATATGGATATGTATGTGTGTCTGTTTGTGTGATGCGTGTATCTGTGTATGTTTACCACAAACATGTATACTTAGAAGAAAGAAGAGCGGTCGTCATCATTCATCGCAGACGAGCGCATAAATGTTGTATATACGTTTAACACTACTTTTGTTATACGCAAAAATTAAGATATATGGTTTTATATACACTGTATAAACAATCTGACGTTCTTTTTGAAGTTAAAATATAAATGTACTGTCAACTTTCAAAAATGAATGTACATTGATACTATCATTCTGAAGAATAAAAATACATTGATACTTTTAACATTGGTACTATCATTTAAAAACGAGTGTAGGTAGAGAATGGGGCAACATAGAGTAGGCGCACTGACGATGCAACATCTAATCTCTAGAGACGCGTCCAAATACCGTGCATAGATTAATACAAAAATAAAGTATGCGTTTTACGTGCCGTGTTAGAAATTTGATAGTCTGCGGTCATAGCGTCATAGCATCAACTTGGGCGTTTATTATGCAACTGCTATTATAAAGATATTCTTCATTTACTAATTTGTTCATCTTTTATTCACATCCTCACACGCAAAAACAAGAATGATGCATATATATATATATATAATATATATATATATATATATGTATATATATATATATATATATAAAACGAACTACATATTTTTCTAAAACATAAAAACAAATAAACTTATTTTTCGAATTCATGCTGCAAATAAGGCCATATTTCGATTCCGAATGAATCATCGTCAGTGCTCCTTGTTGTATATATAGGGAAATATTGACTTTGTCAAGTTATTTGA